CTGAGTTCCTCCGATTATATGGATGTTTATAAGGACTTCGAAGCCGGTAGGAATCGTTAAAGGGCAAAGAATAGGCTAAGTATCTAAAACCCTCGCTGGTATGATTTCGTTCAGCTCATCGTCTGCAGGTTATGGAAAGGGAGCTCTGCCCTGCTCATGATAGAGTATGGAGTGATACGGTAATGTTTCTATTTTCTAGACAGAACTATAAAAAAAACAGCGTAACATTCCATGACCAACTTGCAGTCCACATCACGTGACGGGACTGGGCGGGACCCGTATTTCACCAGCGTGTGCGGTTGCGCTAAGTTTATCTCACAAGCGCAGTCTCCACGACAGTAATGAAGCCCACCATCGTGTTTTCTTTGTAAGCGCCTCAGTCTTCTTCACCCTCTCAAAAAAGAGCTGCGTACCGTTCCTTGTTAGCCGTAGGGGCGGAGCCAGACGCAACCCTGTGTCTGGCCCGCCCCTGCGGCCAACAAGGACTATGCTCTCTGAAACAAATGTGGTACCCACCAGCAGTGGGGAGGCTGTTTTTCTACTGTCCCGCTACATTACAGCCACACAAACAGCGTGACCAGGCACTCATGCAGTGGTCCGGCCCAGACCTTTCTTTTGGTGTGGCATGTGCGTACAGCGAGAGTATCACATAACGAAAAGAAGCAATCAGATCTCTCTAGGACACGTTCTGCGATGACCGGTTGAGTGAAGACAGAGAATAAATCTGCCTTCTCGGTTCGTCCCCTCGTTTTAGTTGCTAAAAAGCGCCAATGAGGTAGTTCTCTGTCTCCGCCCAGGCGGTCGGCGTGCAATGTGACCTCCGGAAGGAGAGGGTAAGAAGGCTGTCACTTGCGACTAATAAGACTAGCTTTCAGCGAGATCATAAGTCACGAGTGCTCAAGATAGCATGGCGGGTACTACACATAGTGGGTGGTCTATGTTACATAATGAGTCCTCCATGGCCACCACTGATTATTCATAAAATCGCATTTCGAGCACCGTCCAGAGGAGAGTACTACTTCTTGGTTGGAGGAGAGGTGAGCTATTCATTCGGTCAAGCAGTCCCATATGGACGACATTTTTTTTCTAGAAAGATCAACGGCAAGCGTTTTTTACTGCTTCGGATGCTGAAGGCGTTAAGAACTTGCAGATATGTCTCCCACATCTATTACGAAAAAAAGTGAAAGCAGTCGATATTTACTACCACATTCTTCGATGCAAGGTATTCCTTTTCAGATAACTTCTGCTTACCACGCGCTGTCCGAGGGTGACCTCACGGATCGGCTCCGTATGGGTATCTGTATCATATCTAACCTTCCATCCCTCTCACGCCGGTACTCGTCCGAGACAATAAAAACACTAACTTGTTTATCGGCGGGACCCCGAAAGTTATTGTAGTTGCATTCAAAGCCACTGCGATTCCAAACGAATGAAGGACACGCTGCGCATCTGAAAAAAGGGATCGATCAACTCCCGGAGGACGCTGTTTGGCATGGGGGACATTATCTTTCGTTCCTCCCCACCGACGTGGCGAGCCCAAGGGGAGAGGTGTGAAATTTTTTAAAGCCCTGATACCAGCCCGAGTCTGTAAAGTTCACTCGTCAACTCCTGCGAACAGTACCTGAAGTAGCGGAAGTGTTCAATGCATCCCCTCTTCACCTCAAGCCTGATAACGCTCTCGGAAGCTTCATCCTTCTATGTCTTATTCGCTAGAAATGTTAAGACGTCTTAGGTGGGAGGGGGCAGGGTTGGCAAGCCATGGGGGCAGGAGTAGCGATTGGTGGAACTAGGCCGCGCTAGCCGCAAAACCCAGGCACGTCCGAGTATTTGCAGTGGACAAGATCCCATTTGAGGTGTGCGCTGCGATACCATTCCACGATAAAAGGGTGGAGGGGCATATACTATCTCCGTCAATTAGCTGAGCGCTCCTGTTTCTGCCATATTGGAAGGAATCTGTCAGAGGTACAACACACTGACGATATGAAAGCTGCCTCCGTCCATTTCGGAATCTGCTTTAATACTCCACTACGATCAGCCAAAGTGAGATAGATCGAAAAGTGAATGATCACTTTTAAGGCCAGTACATAACTGAGTTAAATATGAGGATTTGTCCGAATATGTGGCCTGGAAGTGAATTGTGACGAACAAACCGAGAAGTGAGCTAACGAGAGCACAGAAAATCGAAGGTGAATGAAGCAAAGTCATGGGCATTACATGGTGACATAACGTTCGCAACATCTTCTGATATAGTTCTCAAGCTGGAAACTGCGCGTGTTGCGAAGCGAGAACGAGTATTATTGAGTTCATACCTTAACATTTCGTCGCCCTTAGCGCAAGCGATAATCGCGCAATCGGCAGGCCGCCAAGCGAATCGGTTTTTGAAGGGCGACGAAACCTCAAGATCAGCACCCAGCCAAAGTCCCCTTTTGCAGAAAAGTAAAACCTCCCCAACGTACCAGGCAAGAAGTACTGACATTCATTGAACTACCTTCATTACTATCACATCACACAAAAAGTAAAAATCCGAAAAAAAACGTTCAGAACTCGATCACCGAAACTGATCATCTTTGCCCAGCCGAACAGCTCCGATATCGGGTGCTGTATGCTCATGGATCCGAACTTTGTGAAGTGCTTCTTTGCTACCCAACGTGTTTTCCCCTGGAAGCATTCGCCTACCACCCCTTCCTCCTCTGCAAATTCAAGAGCATAGATAGTTAGTAGCATGCAAAATTCAACGTTAAGGAAGGGTAAAGCGGATTGAGGTAGTGGTATGGCGATGGGGTGTCCACCAGACGACCAGTTTCCCTAATTCCATGGTGTGTTCTGCCCAGATTCCTCCATCGGCGATTCGTCGCTACACACTTGACGCTGAGCAGGTGCCGCGTAGCGTCACCTTTCAAAAGAGTTTCAGAGCTGTATTTGGCCTTAAGCTACTTATACGAAACGGTTATAGGCGCGACATAGCCGACTTTCTCAATGCGATATGCTTGTATTTGACTATGCTGGTTATGGTGTCAGTGATGGAAAAGCCACAGAACAAAGCGTCTACGATAGTGTTGAAAGAGTCTACAAGTGGGCTTCACTACTTGTTTCTTTGGGTTAAAGTTTTCCTTCCTAAAGTTTTCCCAGCAGTAGAAGCTTCATCCCTTCAGATCATTGAATATTCCAGGTACGCGATCGAAGACTTAGGCTATGCCCCTAAAGACATTGTTCTAATAGGATTCAGTTTGGGTACAGCCGCTATGGTGCACATTGCATCGATAACACCCGATGTGAGTTGAATATACCCGGCATGAAAGGTGTAGCATTTGTTCCTCCGCATTCACGTGGCAAGTCGCCGCGCGCGACGCGCGACAGTTCCCCGCCCTCAGCAGGTGGCATCAAGGGGACTATTGCACCCGAATCGCGAACAGGGACAGCCCTATAGACGGGAGCGTCTGTTTTCTGTTTGAGGCTTTTCTGTGTAAGTACGTTTTACCAGCTCTTTTCCACCAGTTGTTGCCCCCTATGGGCCGAGCTGCCATTGATGGGAACAGTGCCAAGTAGCACGTACGTATGGACGCCTGCACCCAACGCTTCGGCTCCAGCCGACTCTAGCCGCGTTGGAATTTGAGCGCAGCGAGATTTACATATTTTGCTGAAACTAGCTACATATTTGTTGCCGTCTGCCTCTCTGCATGGGAAACTGCCGTGGTCGGAGCAAATGGCTCGCTCAGTTGCCGTTTTGCAGCGCGCAGCGAGCAGCGGGAACAAACGCTACACACCGATTTTTCCCCTAAAATGCATTTTCACCATTCTCAGAAGGAAAGCATTCTAACAACTGTAGGCGCGATTTGGCTTGGTGGGGCATTTTGCTGGTTTCTTGTCAATCCCTGGCGATGTCACGTGTAGAGTCCTGTGAATTCCTGTTAAGCTGTGCAATAACAAGAGCTTCATCTACAGTTGACTGGAGCCAACAGGTCTCACGAAGGTGAGACGTGTAATTCAACAGGAACCAGCAAAATAAACTAGCGAACGTGCAAAATGCCCCTTCCGCCCAGACTTCCACCTGTCAAGCCGTCAAGACGTTGGACTCAGCGATCTCGTTTAGCTTGGCGCCATGGTGCTTATAGCTCCGTTCACCTCACTATGGCGAGTTATCCTTCGCCGTCCAAATATCACGGAATCGTCTCGCCTGGACATGTTTCCAAAGTGAGCATGAATACAGCTCTTTTACAAAAACGTGCGGTAGTCGCAACCGTCTCGCGAATGCGCCACACACTTGATCTCTATGTGGCATTGTAGAGATAAGAACGTCTTCGGCTCAGTGGCTATGGTGAGGTGTGGAGAGTTACTCCAGTCGCGACATCGCTCGTATTAGCAGTTCAATCCCTAGATAGTTGTCTAGACAGACACAGAGAATGCTAGTCGACTCGAGAGACGCAGACGCAGGGCGAGTCGACGCGCCGCAACACTGCTACGTTGATGATGGGTCCTAGAGCGAATGCAGCATACGTTATCGCACCTGCAACGACTACTTCGCCGCGACTGGGAAGTAATGCTTCACACCAGGCTAGTGGCCAGCTCGCGATGAATTCAATAAAAGTCATATTTCGTGCAGATCGGATGGGCGA